GTTTAATACAACAAGATCTGAAATGAACGTTTACATCCAGGAGTAACTGCAGGAGAAATTTACAAAGGAAGATTACAATTGTCAGAGTTGTAATTTTGCCTAGATACATGGATGTATACCCCTATTCTTGTCACTGCCATGGGATCTCAATAATAACTAGAAGCTGTTAGGAACTTGTTTTGACATCTTATCCAGAAGACAGGAAAGGACATAACTTTTTTAGGAGACAGTATTCTCAAGGAAGAAGCCAGAAGGTAGAGTATTTCATCCTTCAGCTAATAAACCGAGCCCTGGTGATAACTGTTGGCACAATAAGACATCACTGTAAGGAAATACAGAGATTGCAGAGAAGCTTATAAAAGAAAGCTTTACTGTAGGGCAATGTTACTTAATTCCTTTAGTAGCTGATAATATCACTAAAATAAGGAAGCTGCTAGGAAACTGAATCTGTACTCATTGATAGAGTATTGATCTGAAACATGGAATTAAATACAAGGAACATCATTCAAACAATATTAGGGGTCTGACACTTACAAAAGCAAGCAAGTTTCTCCAGCACCCACTTATGAAATATATATCACATGTGCTATAAAAATGCTAAACCCGTTGGGGAAATCAGTGACAGAAATATACTCACTGTCCGAAGTCCCTCAGGACACCAATCTATCTTTAAACCCTTTCATCTTGCATTCCCTTGCTGCTGAATACACTTGCTGTTCTTTTAAATGCCAGACATTCCACTGGCTTGCAAGTAACCAGTACATGAGCAGCACCCAACATCCATTTAGCTTTGGGCATCAGGTACATTCAGTGACTACTCAAGGTCACTTGATGGTAAATTTTAAACACTGCTTCATTTATAACATTATTTTACAAGAACGAAGAGTACTTTATTGTCCTAGCTGATGCGCAATTCATATGGTAGCCTTTCATCCTTCCTCATATGGAGTGGAGCTAAAGAGGACATAGTGGGTTGTATTTATCAATGCCTTTTGCAAAAGTACCCTAGCTGGAAAGCCAGCCACCTAAAAACAGTTCTGGGAAACAAAAAAAAAAAAAAAAAAAAAAGTTTTTCTGTATTGTTATAAAGATGGGAAGAAAAAGAAGTCAGTGTTCACAGCATGGCACGCAGAAAAGAAGCTACTTCCTGCCCAATTTAGGTCCATTTAGAGGTCAATTTGAAGGGGGAAAACCAACAACACTGAGATATAGCTCATTAAATTTTAAGTCTTAAAGTAGAAGCAAAGTTCACTTAACACCCAATTCATAGAAAAGGGCAGGTGCTGAAGACCTTTTACTTTTACCGACTACAAACTTTCTCAGCTGCTAAATGCCCTATTTTCATTAGATCTACAATAGTTATCTTTCACTTGGCTTTCTCTTCTTTAGGAGCAGAATGGTGGCTGCCTTCAACACCCAGCCACTCAATCTTTTAATTTCCCCATCTGTGAAAAGGCATGTTGGATGGACTCTCTCTCTCCTTCCACTTCCAAGTAAGGGCAAAGTTTCTTTGCTCAATAAGCCCACAGACCGTTCCTAATATAATTAGGGTTGGGAATCTAAGGTGAGAATATACTAGGAGCACTACAATAAAGCTGCTCTGGTCCAGGGTCGGATTTGGAGACTATAACTCAGATAACATGACAACACACTCTCGGTTCTAAATTTCTTCATATTTAAACCTTTCCCCTAACAGTAATTAAAGTGTAGCTCTATTCTGAATAGGGACCTTGTAAAAAGGCATCCCTGGACTCTGGTTTTTTGCTGTCTATCTATATCAAATGCTCAATTCAAACATCAAAAGATTAAGTGTCAGAGTGACTGGTGCATTTCTGCCTTTCTGCACTGGTCTGGTAGTGCAAACACCCTAGTAAATAGTGGCATGTGGTCAGCGGTTACCTCACTCTTGCTCCACCTCACCACTTAACCCCAAAGATTTAGATAATGGCACAGAGATTACACTTATATAGTTTGTGGATGATACCAAGGTGTGAGGAGTTACAAGTGCTTTGGAGGATAGGATTAATATTCAAAATGATCTGAACAAACTGAAGAAATGGTCTGAAGTAAACTGAATTAAATCCAATATGAACAAATACAAAAGTACTCCACTCAGGAAGGAACCTTCAGCTGCAGACATACAAATGTGAAATGACTGCCTAGATAGGAGTATTGTAGAAAGGGATATGGAGATCATGATGCTAAATATACTGCCTAGATAGGAGTATTGTAGAAAGGGATTTGGAGATCATGATGCTAAATATGAGTCAGCAGTGTAACACTGTTGCCAAAAAAAAGCAAACATCATTCAGAGATGTATTAGCAGGGGCGTTATAAACAAGACACGAGAAATAATCCTTCCACACTACTCAGGTCTCCCCAGGAGTAATGTGCCCAGTTCTGGGTACCATATTTCAGGAAAAATTAGAGAAAGTGCCAAACAGAACACCAAAAATGCTTAGTGGTCTAGAACATGACATTTGGAGGAATATTTAAAAAAAACTGGGTTTGTTTGGTCTGGAGAAGAGATGACAGAGGGGACAAGATAATAGTTTAAGTACATAAACGGTTGTTATAAAGAGGAGTGAAATAAACTGTTCTCCTTAACCACTGAGGACAGGACAAAAAGCTTAAATTGCAGCAAGGGAAGTTTGGTTGGATATTAGGGAAAACTTCCTATCAGGATAGAAAAAAAGCTTGCAGATGCCCCAACCAGAGCAAAGCCTCTGGGACTTGCCCAGCTGTGGCCACCCCTTCCTCAGCTCCCTATGCTGAGAAGGGGTTCTGGAACTTGCCTAGCTGTGGCCACCCCTTCCTCCCTAAAGGCACCCCATGAAGAGAAGAGGTGGGGGGGCTTCCCTTCCCTCCCACTCTTGCAAGGGATTCCCCTCCCCTTCCCTCAGGTCCCCTGCCTCCTTAACTGTTAAGGAGGCATTGCTGGCAGGGTATGACTAGCTAGGAGTACCAGACACTGCTACTTGCTGCAGCCAGCCTATTGCAGGGAGGGGGCTCTGGGGCTTACCCAGATGTGGCCACCCTTTCCTCCCTAAAGGCACCCCATGTAAGGAAGGGGTTGGGGGGATTCTCTTCCCTCCCACTCCTGCAAGGCATTCCCCCACTTCTCTCCAGTCCCACATGCCTCCTTAACCATTAAGGTTCCAGTCTGCCAGAAGCCAGCCAGCCTATGGGAGGAGGAGGGGAAAAGAGAAGATGGCCCTGATGTGTCCTCCCCTTCCTCCTGAAAGGTGCCCCATGCAGGGAAGGGGCTGAGGGGCTTCTCTTCCCTCCTACTCTGGGAATGGATCCCCTCCCTCCCTCCCTTTCTCTTCTCTAGTCCCACATGCCTGTTCATGGCAAAAGGAGTTTTGCTGGTAGCCTCTGCAGCAGCCTGAGCCTGGGAAGCAGCTTCAACGTCTTCTTCACTGCCACCCTGCTGAGACGCCATAGGGCTCCAACACGTGGTGTTTCTCCCCCCCACCAGATCTCCTGTGTGCGCCTCTCCCACATGCAGCAGAGGAACCGGAAGTATTCAGCCACACTGCATGGAAGGCTGGGGGAAGTTTCTGAAGTGGCCCCAGCAACCCCTCACCCACAGGGCCAGATTAAATTGTTTGGTGTGCTACATCTGGCCCTCGGGCCACAGGTTCCTCACCCCTAGTCTGAATAGTCCTGCCATAAGTGCAGGGGACTAGATTAAATGACCTCTCAAAGTCCCTTCCAGTACTACGATTTTACGATTGCAGCTGGTGGATAGGAAGTGTTAGAGGTATTGCACTCTAGTTATCTTTAGGTAACTGCAAGATGATGAAGGTTGGCACAATCCCCAGAATGCTCTAATTTGGGCTACAGCTGCAGCCAGCACAGATCCACCCAGACAATCAAGGAGCTGCAAAGAATTCCCAAAAGTCTTCTCCCATCCTGTTTTATCAGGTTTCTCCTTGAGAGATCCATAATTTTTGTAACTGCCACCTTGCAAATTTAGCATAGACACAGAGTACAGTTAGGTACTATGCACATCACCACCAATAAAACAGGTTATGCAGGGCTAATAAGGCCCTTAGTGACACCTGTGTAATTCCAATGTCTTCAACAGGCCTGCACAGGTATAATGATTGGAATTTAGTAAACAATTCTGCTGATGGACAAGATAAATAAATACAACTACCTTTTAGAGGTGTTGGTTCTTCAAGGCTATCAGCAGCAAAGAGCAATAAAAACATGATTTAGTCACTTCTGTCGGCAGATAACACTAAATGCACACGGTAGGGACTGTCTACGATAATTACATGTCATTTTACAAGCATACTTAAGAACTTCTGGGTTACTGAAAAAAAAGAAATTGAACCTCATTGTTTTTATTTTTTTAAATATACATACCCCTATGCCCTTTGTATTTAAAAAAAGAAATCTTGGACTATCAAACCAGGAAGAGTGCTGCTTGTTAACAAGAGATTTCTGACTCTTCAGTTAAAAGCTCAGAGTTAAATTATTATTGTTTAGACTACAAAAGTGTGGGATAACACTGAAGTTTAATACTGCCATATAAAATGTCACTTCATTGCTAATAATTTCAGTGAAAACATGGAGCTATTCTGAGGACTAAGTTTGGGATTGTGGTCAGCATTTACATAGAGTGCCATCATTTTCTCCCTCCAAAATCTGATCTCCAATTATCTTTCATTGCTTAATTGGAGTCCGTCAGGCTTCTTGCCTTTTCAGATTGAGTGCTTATCACAGAAAGCTGGTGACAGTGAAAGTGATGTCTTTCAACTAGTACAAAAAGTACTCCAGAACTTTTATTTTCAATTCAGGATTATGACATCACCACACCAGGGATACAGTACTGACGTATCATCCTCAAGATAAGAAAAAAAGACGCTCTAGGAAAAATAAATCAATTACCAGAATCTCAAACTTGGTTACTGAGAGTATATATATCCTCTCCAAACAATAATAAAGGTCAAAACAGGACATATACAAGGAATTGAAACATTACTCACCACTTCCTGAGATGCATACTTAGAATCATCAGGATCAACTGACCAATAGCAGAAATCAAAGCCAAAAGCCACAATCTTCTCTCTTGTGTCCCCTGGGCCCTCAAATCTATTGTCTACCTGAATAGGGGAAAGAAGGGGAGGGAAAAAGAGAAGACATGAATTTGAGATTACCAAATAATAGTAATTTTAAAAGTTTGTCCAGGATATGCTTTCCCCCTTCTCACAACACAAATATGCATAGCTCCAAGTTAATCCCTTTCTCACAAAACTCTAAGAAAAAAATATGGATGAATCCATCACAACACTGCTAAAGGTAGTACTTTCACTGAAAGTAGTACTTTCAGCTCATTCACCACTCCTCTCCTACTTCAAAACAGTACAATGCACATAACAGTTTTCCATTCAAAGCTCTCCAAACATTTTACAAGCATTACTGAGTTAATCCTCACAACACACAGGTTAGATGTGAGAGCATTAACCTCATGTTACAGATGGAGAAACTGAATTCCAAAGGTTAAATGACTACAAATGGCAGAGCCTGAAATACAGCCCATACCTCCTAACTCCTACTATCTCTCTCTATATATAATTTTTTTCCCTGTGGATCGACAGAATGACATCATGAGGTCTGCATCAACAGGCTGGGAGGGGGGTAGGCGAGTGAAAGAGATATTTTCTCCACTGACTCTGTGATGCTGGGGAGGAGGCGGCAGCGAGGCTGACCCCTAGCTCAGTTCGGGACGGCCCAAAGCAGTGAGTGCTGGCTGGAGTGCACGGCACCCCACTGCTGGGGGAGCTAAGGGAGCTTGGAGAGCTGCAGAGAGTAGGGGAAAACCTGCCAGGCTGCAGCCCACGCTGTCAGTGGGCTCAGCACGGAAAAATCCTGAGCGTGGGTAGGGATGCAAGCGACTAATTGATTAGTTGACTATCTGATAAGCAAAAGCTTATCAGATAGTCAACACACTAGTCAACTAGTTGCTTCCCCCCCTCCCTGCCTCTATCAGAAAGAGGCAGCAAGGAGAAGGGGGGAGAAAGGAAGGGGTGCTGGGGGGAGCCGGTTCCTCCCAGCTCAAGCTCCATGGGAGGGGGCAGGGGTGCAGTGTCCTTGTTCCAACTTTGAAATGTGCAAGAGTCCCCACTGGGGCTCTTGTACATTTCAAAGGCAGAAGGCCAGGTGGCACTTCTGCCTTCAAAATGTAGCAACAGCAGAGTGGAAGCACACTGGGGGGAGAAAGGAAGGGGTGCTGGGGGGAGCCGGTTCCTCCCAGCTCAAGCTCCATGGGAGGGGGCAGGGGTGCAGTGTCCTTGTTCCAACTTTGAAATGTGCAAGAGTCCCCACTGGGGCTCTTGTACATTTCAAAGGCAGAAGGCCAGGTGGCACTTCTGCCTTCAAAATGTAGCAACAGCAGAGTGGAAGCACACTGGGAGCCTTGAGACTTTCTCCCCCCCCCCCAGGAAGTCGGCACTGGTGCTTCAATCTCATGGGGAAGGAGGGAGGCTGGAGCACCAGTACTTGCTTCTTGTGGTGGGGAGGGGGAAAAGAAAGCCCCAAGGCTCCCTGGTGCTTCAATCTAATGGGGAAGGAGGGAGGCTGGAGCACCAGTACTTGCTTCTTGTGGTGGGGAGGGGGAAAAGAAAGCCCCAAGGCTCCCCATGAGCTGCCGCTTTTCTTCCCCCTCCCCTGGTGGCAGGGACAGCAGTGCAGGGATGTGCTTCAAGAAGGTTTTTCCTGCTGCTCAGAAGGGCAGTGAGTGAGGGGGGGTGCAGGATCTCAGCTGGGGGGGGACGAGGCTGGAGCACAAACTCCCAGCATGTCCCTATTCCCCTCGGTTACCACCCTGCCGAGACCCCAAACCCCCAGTCCTCTTACTCATCCCCTCCACTGAGACGCTGTACCCCAATCCCCTCACTCATACCCCCCCAAGCCAAGACCCTGAACCTCCAGCCCACTCACTCACCACCCTGCCAAGACCCCACATCCCCAGCCCCCTCACACATCCCTTCCACTGAGACCCTGAACCTCCAGCCCCCTCACTCACTCCTTCTACTGAGACCCTACATCCCCAGCCTGCTCCTGCACCCTCCTCCCAGCCAGACATCTGCCCCCTAGAGAGAGGGGGGGGGTTGAGGAATGCAGCTCACGCTCTCTGGCTGCGAAAGCCATGGGGGGGGAGGGGAGGTTGGCGAGTGTAGCAAGCAGGGGGTGCAGCCCCCTAGTTATGCTTTAAACACAAGTCTATCTACTCTCCTTCTTTATCTCGCATTAAAATTTTGTCAGTTCTCATCCTTCAATGTATTATGGATTAGCAAGTACCCATAACAAATCCTGAGTTTTGATTAACCAGTAATCACAACCAAACCCTCCTGTCATACCACTGATTAGAACTAATATTTTTCATTACTATTTCCCCTAAGATATACCTTCACTAAAAAGATCACTTGGGTGATTGGTATTCAGGTCTGAGCACTGAATAGTCACACTGCAAAACCACTACAATCTCACTAGTGCTACACTCCTCTGCATGCATAGATTCCTAGGGGCACATCCCATGGCTCTTCTGGGCTGCATTCAGCTGAGCTTCTCTACAATTCTTGCATAGTTGTGGAAGATGTATCTGTCTCTTGCAGGCACACATGTGAATTGTGATTATCAGTTAATCAGAACAGAATTTCTCAGTGCTACTTTATAATGTACAGGCAGTCCCCGGGTTACACGGATCCGACTTACATCGGATCCCTATTTACAAACGGGGTGAGGCAACCCTGCACTAGCTGCTTTCCCCCAGCAGACCAGGGAGACGCGAAGCTAGTGCCCCCCCTCCAGCAGACCAGGGAGACGTGGAGCGGCTTTTCTCAGCAGACACCTCAGCTTGAGAATAAAGGACTGAGGGAAGTGAGGTGTGGGAGAATAAAACTGAGCTCTGGAGAAATGTTTGGCTAGAGTTTCCCCTACAATATGTACCAGTTCCGACTTACATACAAATTCAACTTAAGAACAAACCTACAGTCCCTATCTTGTACGTAACCCGGGGACTGCCTGTACATAATTCTAAAAAAATCTTGTTCACGGTTTGAGCTTTCATCACCAGATAAGTCTGATGCCATACATTAAACTAATCTGTGCAACAAACAGCATATAACCCTACTGGAATTTTTAATCTGGTTTTAAACACACTTTGCCCTACCCCAATAGGAGGAGTGTGATGTCAGTTTCTTGATATTAGAAAAAGCTATTTAAAGGAGCTGGCAAATTTTCAGAAAAGAGTGACACTATTCCTATGAATAAGGACTGAAGAATTAGGTTCAATATTTATGATTGCAAACTGCTAAGGATAGGTATATATCTTTTTTTTGAGCTGTGAAGTGCCATGAATGCCTATGTCTTTGTAAAAATAATAATTGTTTTCATAAAAGGTGACTTAAGTTGTTAAGAAAATCAAATAGATCTTGCTACACAAGTCATTATTTGATTCCCAACAAGATGTTCTATCTATCTATTTGCACCAAGCAAGTGGGCAAGCTACTTTCCCAAAAACCCAAACAACACTTCCTCCTCCCCAACTCAAAGGAAGAAACCTGGAGTCACACATTAGACCGAAATAGCTGGGTCCATACATAACACTGACATCAGTAAACAACAGAATTAGCAATCTTGACATCTGATAATAGCGTAAGTAGAAAAGAAAATAGTTATATTCACTATTAACTAGAACACAAAATACTGCATTAACAAGTCACTATTGCTATTAGCTACTTTTAAGATCTATGGATGAAAAGCACTGTAAATGCTAAGTATTACCATAATTTATGGAGATTACTGGGGAAATTGTTACACAAGCCTAGCTAAAGGAGCCTCTTTGCTAACAGCAGTTTTGTTGTTGAATGTATGTTGAGGGTGGGGAGAAAAACTGTACATTTATCCTTAAAAGAAAAAGGATATCATGTATGGATAAACCCTTATGATTCTAAATTAGTCACGCTGAATTAACTCCAACTGATGTTTCCTTTGGCTAGTGTTAAAATGTAAGCTAGTCTATTGATCAGTTAATTCAAAAGGATTATCTTCAATAAATAAGGCTTATTCAGAAGCCTTATAAATGCTGTAATCCAGAAGAGAGCTCTCCACTGTTCTCTGCAATGGCTTACTCAGAGCCCTGACTGCCTATTGTAAAAAAATAAAATGAATACTTTCTCCCTGCAAATTCAATTTTATAATCATAAAGTGACAGGCTACCAAAAGAAATCTCTGTTAATATAAAGACTTCAGTTATACAGTTTGTGCACTGGTGTAACTATTTCACTTAGGGGTATGTTGAGCTGGTTTAAAGAAAACCGATACACTGGCACAGCCCTAATGTGGAAATAGGCTGGCATAAAGCTCTTTCATACTAATAACTCTAGCCATATTATGGGGTTATACTGCTTTAACAAGTTATGCTGGTGTAAAGGTGTCTTATATACCTATAGCTTATTATCTTCTTGTACAGCAATAGCTTGCTGGCATAAAGCACTTTCATACTAATAACTCTATCCATCTTATGGGGTTGTACTGCTTTAACATACTGAAGTGGGTTGTGCCCACTAAAGCTCATGATACCTTCTTTTTTTGTTAGTATCTAAGGGCTCATCTAAACTACATCCCTCTTTCAAAAGAGGGATGTAAATGAGCCCAATCAGAAGTGCAAATGAAGCGTGGATTTAAATATCCCACACTTCATTTGCATATTTGCATCCGATCACGGTTTCAAAAAAGGGTATTTCAAAAGTAAAACCGCAGTCTAGACGCGGTTCTTTAAAAAACAACAACCCATTTTCAAAATAACCCATACTCCTCATTTTTTCAGGAGTATGGGATCTTTTGAAAAAGAGTTCTCTCCCCCCCCCCGAAAGAACTGCATCTAGACTGCGGTTTCACTTTCAAAATACCCTTTTTCAAAACAGCAATCGGATGTGAATATGCAAATTAAGAGCGGGATATTTAAATCTGCTCTTCATTTGCACTTTCGATCGGGCTCATTTACATCCCTCTTTCGAAGGAGGGATGTAGTCTAAATGAGCCCTAAGGTGCTGCAGAGCTATTCTCTTTGGTAGGCAGTGCTGCCAGGCTGCCCCTGACCACCAGGGGGGTCCGAAGCCACCCCGGCCCTTGTCACCCCCCCCTCCCACTGCCAGGGAGGGGGGGCCAAGGCCTGGCCACGCCTCCAGCCTTCACAGTTCACAGCACACCTCCGCGAGGGGGGAAGGTGCATGGCTCTTGGCCGCCCCCCTCCTTCCCCACCCGCAACGGGGGAGGAGGCGCAGCTCCTGGACCCGTTCCTCAGAGCACAAGGGAAGCCATGTGGCTTCTGCCCTGGCCCCGGAGATCTGAGGAGACTGGGGAAGCCATGTGGCTGCCTCCTCTCCACCCAGAGCAGAGGAAGAACTGACTCAGCTGTGGGGGGCTACAGCACTGGTAAGGGAGGAGAGAGAGAGAGAGAGAGAGAGAGAGGAGGCTGGGTAGCTGAGGAGGAAGGGTCTGCAGGATGCAGAGTGATGTGATGATGTCACTCTGTTGTCCCACAGGAAAAACTTGTTTTATATATATAGAAAGATTTTAAAGCAGTGAACCTTTGGTACGTAGACAAAGTAACATCTCTCCCTTACTAAAGTGTAATAGTTTTGAAGTAAAAAAATACAATATAAACAGGTCATCTCTTAGGGCTCCAGAGCTCTCTAGCAGACTTCTTGTAATCCATCTCCATCTCTTTGTTCATGGCTCTCTCAAAACCTCAGTCTAACTAGGTTCACTTGTACATCGGCTCCTGAGTGGTCCTAGATGAGGGAATCTGCCAGATCATGGTAGGTTTCCTTCCATTGGCTCCCTCAGCCTGCTGCCCTCCCAGCCAACACCTTCAGCCACACCGCCAACAGGTCAACATGGCTGCCCCAGCCACATTTCCAGAACAGCTGTCCCATCCCCACTACCAGCCTGGTCCGAACTGCACTGCTGGGTGGCACGTGGCTCTGGCTGAGCTGCACTAGTCCCAGCTGGGTTGCCCGGAAAGGCTGTTGTGGCCCCGGACGGGCTTCCGCTGCTGGGCTTCTGCAGCCTGGCCTTGCTACCAGCTAGGCTGCCTCAGCCCCGGCCACACTGCCCGTCCAGCACACGCAGCCTGAACCAGCCCAAGTTGTTCCTGCCCCGCTACAGCCACTGGGCTGCCGAGGCCCTGGCCCCACTACCACCAGCCTCACCAAGCGCGGGGCTCTCATCTGCTGGCCCTCCTGCCCTGGGACTCTCTCATCCAAGAACATCTGTGCTGCTATTGGACATCCGTGGTCCTACTATGTGTGCATATTCTAAGCTTCAAGGCCATTTTTGTCTTTTCTCGGCTCTCATCTGCTGGCCCTCCTGCCCTGGGACTCTCTCATCCAAGAACATCTGTGCTGCTATTGGACATCCGTGGTCCTACTATGTGTGCATATTCTCAGCTTCAAGGCCATTTTTGTCTTTTCTCTGACATACACAAGGCATATACAAAAAACCTCTCTAAATGACCTAATATTTAATATACTGATTGATAACTATGCTGTAGCCCAGGTTAGCATTATAGCCTGCTAAACTTTCAGTCTATTTTACCATCTATGCTCTAGGCCTATTCCAAAGGACTCCCTTTGCTAAAGCTCTAAACCTGCAACATGCACTTCAGGTCCTTACTGAGACCGCAGATTTGCTCTGGCTGTACATTTACTTTAATTGTTGTTGAAACAACAAGGAGTCCAGGGGAACCTTAAAGACTAACAAATTTATTAGGGCATAAGCTTTTGTGAGTTGAAGTTCACTTCGTCAGAAGCATGAAGTGAAAAATCACACATTAGGGATATATACATACATACAGAGCCTTTCACACAGCCTGGTTCTCATGTCCCTTGCAGGTAACATCCAAAAATCCCAAAGGGAAAGGAAGGAGGGGTGCAGAAAATCAATTAAATTTCAGTGTTCCCAGTTACCCATTAAAGCCTCAACTGTGGCTAAATACATTTTGCTCAGTTTCACACATTAGTTGCAATCACATCTGACTGCAAATGGTGGAAGAAAGGAAAAAAGGCAAGAGAAAAAGTTATCCATATGTTTGGGATTGTGTGATTATTTTACTGTTACTAACACTTTACTGACAGTCTTGAACTATGGTATGCAGCCTCAGAGGCTTTGATAGCTGCAGAAAATAGAAAAGTAAGAAAAGGACAAATAGATATTTGTTTATCTTACAAAAAAGCAGATGTTCATGGCAATTCTAAAACAACGCCATATCTGGTCCAATTAAAGATTTTGTTCTTAGTATTTCCTTCCTGTTTTATTTTTAAGCTTGTTTTTAGATGAGCTAATAATTGAAAATACAGCTACACATTCCCACAGGATTCCATCATTATTTTAGTACCATTATAGTTTGGGAAGCAAAAGAAAAAAAAAAACATAGAAAAAACGTACCTTTATGTTTCTGACTTTTGCCACTTTTTCATCAACTTCTACAATTATTCTTCCCCCTTCAGCATTCTCTCTGGAAACAACAGACAAAAACAGTTAAAATACGAAGACAATGCATGTTCATATTCAATATTAGATTTATTGGCTTGCACTATTACAATAAACGGCAACTTGTGTGATTAATTCTAACAGACAATTCATTTTCTAAAATCTCCCTCAAGGCTGCAAAAAGTGTTCGTAGCTCTTTAATCTAGTGTTTTGACAATCAGAAAAAGTGGTTAAGAGCACCAAACTCAAGAAAAATGACAACTTAGGAAATAGGCCTTTTACACTGTTTGGAATTTAGTTCGTTTCAGATATTTTTAAAAGTGACAATCCACAGCTCACAGCTCTTTTTTAAAAGTGACAATCCACAGCTCACATAACTGGATGGTTTCTAGCAAGAGAAAAACCTTACTTTAGAAGCAAAAAAAGTTGATCTACTATATATTTGAGACCGTTTGTCTGTATCTCTGTATGTATGTCTGTTCAAGAATGCCTTCTAAACAGCAAAAGCTAGGACTGTCAAATTTGGAATGGAAATTCCTCTTATCGTAACTTCAGATGACTTTGACGACAAAACTTGGTAGTGTAGATGTAGACTTACTCACTGCACCCTTCCACACACACCCCCTCTCGCTTTTTCCTCTCTATAACTGGTGACATTTTAAATGGCCACTTCATCTTGAAAATTCTCCTGAATGTGTGTAAAATACTTATGATAAATAATCTGTGCCACCTTGTATTTAGCCTGCTAGAAGTTATCACTACTATGGTCAGCAACACAAATACTACTTTGATGCAAAGGTCCAAATATTGGTTCTTCTTTTGCATGTAGTACTCATTAATTGAAATCCCCACAATAGCAATAACTAGTGCATACAAAACTAGTCCACAGGCCATCCACAACATCCCCTTCTATTTACACATCGCAGTGCATAATTAAAAAGAACGAATGGGATAGAACATAGCACTATGTTTAGGGCACTCGTTAATTAACTAATCAGGTCATTTAATAAATGGTTTAACAAGACTGACCCAACACATTACCAATAGTGATTTTACTTTATAACAAAGCCATACAACTACTAATTAAACACTCGTTCTGTAATGTATTTTTAGATATTACTTTTTTAAAAGACATGATAATGAAGACATCATGGATATCACATACTGATCATGGTATTTTATACAGGCAGTCCCCGGGTTACGTACAAGATAGGGACTATAGGTTTGTTCTTAAGTTGAATTTGTATGTAAGTCGGAACTGGCTCCAGATTCAGCCGCTGCTGAAACTGATCAGCGGCTGACTACAGGAAGCCC